TAGGTTATACGGCGAACGCATCCGCAATCTCCTTAGCCTATGGCACCTCTGAAGGAACTCACGAGACTGCTGAAACCCCTTTCACCAATGAAACCATTCATGCCCTTACTTCCTCTATCCTAGCGGCTGCAGAAGCTCCAGGAGTGTCCAAACGAGATGCAGCTCTGGTTACAGCCACAGTCTTCTACCTGTTAGGTCGGGGTCTCAGAATATTTTTCCTTGTGTCAGTCTACTTCTCTCATGACTAATGGACACTCGTTGACTGGGCCATACTTGAAGCATGTACGCGGTGGCTTTACCTCGATTCCGTATGGCATTACTGGTTCAAACAGTGTTCCATGTCCTGGGCGCGGCAATATACTTTCCACTGCTCTTTGTTCGCTCCACATCGGCAATTATCACTTTGGCTTCCGTCGGAATGGCTTGGGATATTGGTATGAGGTAGCTCATTCATTTCCAATTATGAGACCACGTCTGACCCTGCTGTTGCAACAAAAAGGTTCTCTGTAGGTATTTCTAGGCACATGCAGCGTATCATCAACCCAAAGAAGGCGAAGGAAGAAGAGAAAATGAGGGAATGTGAGGAGAAACAGAGGGAGGCTGAGGCTGCGGGTGCTGAAGAGGACGACGATGATGAAGATCATAAGACCTTGGCTGTGAGTTTACATTTTTGCTTGGATACCCCCATCTGAACTTTCTTGCCTCAATAGGACCGTCACTGCTCTGCATATGATAAGACAATCAACACCGCAACTGGATCCCATGTTCCAGGTTGGACCTCACTTCTCCACAACAGTTTTGGATACTCATCGTGAATTATCATAGCTCTGAACATTGAGCACTTTTTGGAGCGGACGGCGGCGTTCGTTGTCATCGTGCTGGGTGAGATGGTGCTGAGCGTTGTTTATCACGCAACGACTTCCCAAGTCGGCTTCCAGAGGTATATTTTTCCCGATTTATCTCATTCAAAGTCTAAATTGGTGTTCTATAGGATCTACGGGATTGCCATCTGCGGATTGATAACCGCGTTCAATTTATGCTGGCTCTGTAGGTGGTGTTCTTGTTATCTAACAACTTTTCTGATCATCGTGGTTCCAGATTTTGATGCTGAATGCAGGTGGGTAGACTTAGGACATGCGTACAATGTGACTGATAGCTTTTCCTAGCGCACGATTCGTTCATGCTCTCCGCCGTCATTGTAAGTCCTTAGATATGGTATATATCTGATGGTTAACATTTTCTTTCGTACAGGGTTTGCTGGGACCATGTTCACGACACTCCATTTCCCACTTTGTGCTGCCTTGCTCATTGTATCGGCGGCCATGTCTTATTTCACCAAGCACGAAACAGAAGCACCTGAGGCCATTCGTTGGTATTTCGGAGGTGGATTGGGTTGCTCAATGTTTTGCTTGGCTGCATTGGGCTATACCCATCGTGGACTAGATCCAGAGGGGACCACCAGAATCAGCAGGGTAAGGTTAATACTTTGGAGCTTGGATTGAATCTCATTTCATTGCAGAGAGTGCAACTTATCGTGCGAATTCTTGTTGGAGTCGCCTTGACTTGTATCCCTCTTGCTCACAATCTCTCACCCCTCAAGTTGATGGGCATCGGGGCCGGTCTGACTTCTCTCCTCGTGATGGAAGAGACCTACGGGAAACTCTGGCGGGGAGAACCGATTTCGAAACCCAGTGCCTCAGAGAAAGCTGCTGCCGAGGCGGATGCGAAGAATGACGAGATTATCGAAAGCCCGGTCGAGGAAAAACCACCGCATAAATCGAAGAGCGATCAATGATCCTGATAGACCCTGAGCGTGTGAATGGGATAGCTTAACAGGTTTGGAGGCTCGGGATAGCCACCATTTGGGCGAGCCGGCCTACTCCGTAATACACGGCCATGACAATCATGTTATGCACGAATACTAGATCTAAACTCAAATATAAACG